GTGATATAGCTAAGTAGCTATAGTAGTTAATACAGCAGGGTCTTGATACTGTGTTTGATTCTGCTCCACCTGAAGATAGATGATTGAGAGAGTAATTCTCTTTTTCTCACAAAGCTTGCTAGGAAAGAGGCATATCTTGCTTTGAATCACAGATAAAACCTTAAATAACTCACAGCATTCAAGCCCTGTAACAAAAGCTGTAAAGCAACATGCACAGCATGGACATCTTAAATACACCATGACTTCTCCTCCCCTACATTTTCATCCCTTGTGTCACTTGTCATGATCTTCTGTTCTTTTTTTGACTTTATTTGCTAACATCAACAGAATAAGTGTGCTGTTGTCTGCCCTTTGCACATGATGTCTGGCAAATCACAATGAGGTTTTGACAGTCATGCCTGCCTGGCTTCTATCACCCTTTGGCCTTCTTCTTAAGGATATTCATCTCCTCCTCTCAAATACGTCTCAAAAGGGTGATGAATATTTGCTTTTATTTTGTCCTGAGGGTTTCCACATTGATTTTTAGTGTTTTGATTGTTGGTAAGGAGCATTATCCTATTAGGACCTTAATAGAACTCACTATTATTTCCAAGATTTATAATCTTAGACTGAATATATTCCTGATGTTAATAACTAGGACAAACACTGCCTGATTGTGTGTGGGTGTGTGAAATACATACATATGTGTTTAAGGCAACAGTATTATGGTAAATGAAGTGTGGAGATGTATTGCATTTTGACTTGCATTCTCATTTTTAATTCAGGGCAGAGGAGAAAAAATCAATGTGATGTAATGAGGTGTACTCAGACAAAGGGTAACATGGGACTGCAGCAGAATTCAGGCTATTGAGAAGATTTAGTTCAGCAGTGATGAAACCGATGGAAAAGTCTCTGGAAAATAAGCTCCTGTATTGCCTTGTCCTACTAAGTTACCCAGCTTGGCAGCTCACAGATTTGTGTCATTCCCCTAACTGTGCAGACAAGTCAGGGACACCTGTGAGCTCGTGCTGACAAGCATTGCATGGAGGAGGCACCAAAGGGCTCACAATCTCTTTATGGAGTCTCCAAGACAAAGAGTATGATCAGACAGAAATTTTATCAATAAGGAACAGAGGAGTGCAGTTTGGACTTAAGCTGACTGACCATAACCCTCACAGCAGACCAAGATTTCTGGTGAACTGGTCTTTTCCCTTTGCTTCCAGGAGAGCCCAGCTGGAAAGTAGTGAATGGGAGGTGTTTCCCATGGAAACAGTACATGGCTGGAGCTAGATACTTCTGCGTGGGTTACTCACCATGACTGGTCACGAATTTCATTGCTTAATAAAGCAGTACTTTCCACCATTCTTCCTGGTAGCAGAATTAATGACATCCCATTGCACGTCAAAGTAGGAAAAACACATCATCACTCGTGTTAATAATTGTATGGAAAGAACACACCATCGTTTCAGAATCTATCCCTACATCAGTAGTTACTGACCAGTGGCCAGGAGCCACAGAAGGGTTGCAGCAGTTATCAGCAGGTCACAACCTCAGAAGAAATTTGGTTTCATTGTATAGTAACAGCTGGTATTTTGTGTTACACAATATAATACATTTGTGACTGGGGTCCTAACTGGAAAAAAAAAAAAAAGAACCACTGTTCTAGGAGTTATCAAATTATCTAACACAAAGCTGCACTGCAACAAGCTAACACATACTGCATGTTTTTCCAAATACAAGTACTTAACAAGAGAGGGGAAAACATTAAGGTAACAGAATGAAGCAGTAATACCTTCAGGACACATTGTGATGAATTAATGTGGTCAAACTGTGGAGCCTGAACGATGAAGGCATCCCTACATTCAGACTTATCTCTAAACTCTCCTTGAATGATATCTTAATTGGGCAGTCTCAGAGAAACAGGCAGGTATCAAATTCCTGATAGCAGAAAATGACATTGAACCGAAAGCTGATTCAAGACTTTAATCTGAATCATATCCTACCAGAAGCCAGAAAGTTTAAAGTTCCAGCATGCTAAATCAACATTTTGCTACTTTAAATATTTTCCATTTAAAGCTGGAAATTTAGTTTTCACTGAGTGCCTTTCTTTTCTGAATTACACTGTATCCTCCTCAAGCACAAATAAAAATCAATACAACGAACCTTACTTCAGAAGTTAATTACTGGCTCTAGTGCATAAACGAGACAATTACTGTTTTTTGCCAGTGATTGACTGTGATGTTCAGAAGTGGAGCTACAATGATCACAGACCCAGACTAGTACTTCTGCTGAGACAGAGTAACACAAGGAAGGAGATCATGACTCTTCTGAGAGGAGGCAAAGCCAGCGTATGAGGAATAAATGGTGTTCATGCGCTCACCATCAGCAGGTTTGAACTCCAAGAGCATTGCTTCTTCTGATCCATCTTCTCTGCTCTCCTTGATGCTCTCTACTTCACACCAGAAGTCCTCCATGGAAGTGCTGTCCATGGAGGCCTGTGAATTGGAGCGACTGAAGGCAGGAGGTACTGACTCATTGGAAAGCATCCTGTTAATTCTTCGACAGCGAGAGAGAGACTTTCTAAAAAGAGAAATGATACAAATAAAATCATCTTTCTATCATGCTAACTTGTGCTATGCAAATGGAGCAGGCAACCAGTGACTATTGTACCAGGAAGTAGGGAACAAGATTTCAGAGGCCAAGTACACAGTTCTGATAATTATCATGATGTCTGTCACTCACAACAATTATGGCTGGACATGTATTTCGCATTTAATAATTTATCTCTTTAATGTCCATCTAAAGGGAACTCAGGAAATGCAATTTCTATTTCTAATACTGGTATCCATCTAAAGAGACGCTGGAAAATTATTTTCACTTCTTTTAGTCTCTCTTTCTATCCCCTCCTGTTTCGCTTACTGGCTGAAATGCTCCAGTAAAAACTCTAGGGAAAAATAATGAGACTTAGGAACCCTGAAATATTTTACAAACTCATCTTCACTCCAAAAGAAGAATGAAAAGCTTGAAAGATTTTAATTTGGAAAAATAATTATTTTTATTTGAAAATAATTTTTAAAATATTTGGGTTTTTTTTCGTAAGTTAAAATAATTGAAAACAAAATTTCACTGAATTAAAATAGCATATTCTAGGTCAAACAGAGGTTTTGATCACAGGTTAAAAAAAAAAATACGATTCACCAAAAATCAAGTTTCAAGTTAAGATTCAATACAGGGGTTGAATTAAAATGAAGTCTGTTCCTTACTCTTTTGCTCTTGTCTTTTCCCCACTGTAAGTACTTGCAGCTGATACAAATCCTGCAGCTTATTCATTCAAAATCTTATATAACACCCACCATGAAAATTGTCTGACTTTGCTCTTTTGCGTTATTATGGCTGCAATACTGTAAACAGATTGTGTTACAGTATGTGTAACTGCAGTAGGTACAGTAATCAGTAGTAATAACCACAACAATATTTGTACAAAGGAGTTAGGAGGTAACACAATTTTGGCAGAGAGCTAGACCATGGGAATGGAAAATTCTGACATAAGGTCTTCTGACCTTCACTTATCTGATTAATTCAAATGCAGTTTCCCTTTCTCTTCCTTTTCTGTATGGCATGATCCTGCCAACATGCCTTTGTTTAAAACCACAGGCATCACTTTTACTCCACTAAAATAAAGGTACTTCCTTTCCAGTGTTTCCCTCCTTATCAAAGTTTTCCTATTGGATGTATAAACAATGTATTATTTCATAAAGCTGACTGAGCATGCTTCTCCCTCATTGTGCTGCTGCCTCTGCTTCATCCTTCCCTGCCACCAGTAAAGGGCTGGATGCTTCCCTGGGGCTTGCAGAGGCTCCTCACTTTAGCTGGGCAGGTCCTTCTGGCCTAGGTCTGAGCCCCAGGCTGGGGAGCTATGGTGGAAAGAACAGAGTACAACAAATCCAGCTTTGGACATGATCAGGCTTTACAAAAGGCAAAGCTCAGGCCTTTGCCTCTTTTTGAACACTCATGGGTGCAGTATGGACAATACATCTGCCAAATCGGCCCCTGTGCTCTTGGAAGCAAAGCTTTCTGATGGGTGACAACATTGCAGCAGAGAGAACACACTATGGGGTGGTGGAGACACGTTCTCTGGGAAGAGAAGTGCTGTCTCCAGAGTTTCTTTCCATTTCTCCCCTCATAAACAGTTTGTTTGCGTTAAAACACAGTGCTGAAACTGCTATGTTAATTAGAACAAGCCACAG